GGTGCTGTCCACATTTAATCCACCTAGTCCAGATGATACCTTGCAGACATGCCCACAGACTTGTCTCCAGGGTGATCTGAGACCCTGTCACATTGACAATCAATATAAACATCACTGTTGATTTATATAAATTGGTTATCTTTATTATCTTATGTTTTTTTCTGTTTCTGAATCTGTTCTGAGCTGTGTAACTGGTGCCCATCCTGGCTCTGAGCTTATGTTCTTCCTGCTTTTGCTTGGCAACTGCCCAACTCTGGTTGCCCTTTAACTTGCCAGGAAGACCAAGTTGGCTTTAAACTCACAGAGAAAGATGGTTGTCACCGTTCTCTTCTCAGTTTTATTTTTGCTAGTGCGCGCGCGCGTGCGTGCGTGCGTGCGTGCGTGTGTGTGTGTGTGTGTGTGTGTCTTTGCACGTACGGGAGGGGGAGCTGGTGTGCCATGCAGCGTGAGTGCACAAGCCAGAGGGCCACTCTGCGGGATTTGTTCTCTCCTTCCACCTCTGTGTGAGTTCTAGGGCAGGGGGAGGAGGCGGGACTCAGGTGATGGAGCTTGCGCACGAGCGCCCTTTACCCACTGAGCCATGATGTCTTCCATTCATTGCCAATTCTGAAAGTTTAAAGGAAGACTTCAATTGGTCCACGTTGTGTCACGTGTCTCCCCTACTTCAGGGGGAGGTAAATACTGTAAGGGGCAGCCTCACGAATGCGCCAGAGGGCTCAGGCTAACTTCCCCTGGGAGGGGAGATGGCTTGGGGGCTGTCAGCACTGACAGATGCTCCTGTTTCCTAGGCAGAGGGTGGAGCCAGAGCGAATCTAAAGTCACAGTGCTGCCTAGAAATGCAGATTGCTCAACTCTGAGCCCCGGGGTAGTTGAGAGACTGACTGTATTGATGAACGTACTGTAATTTTAAACTATAAAAATAATACAGGGGGCTGGAGAGATGGCTTAGTGGTTAGGAGAACTGGCTGCTCTTGCAGAGGACCAGAGTTAGGTTCCCAGCACCCACAAGGCAGTTCACACACATCTGTCCTCCAGTTTCAGGGGATCCAGTGCCCTCTTGTGGACTCTGAGGGCACTGCATGCAAGTAGTAATACATGCAGGCAAACACATATAAAACAAAACAAACAAATCTTTAAAAATTACATATGAAAAATTTGGGAAGAATAAGAAAAGTATCCATTATTTTACACTAACACATCTTAATCTTCTGCATTCCTTTCCCACCTGCTCCTTAAACATATCTTAAAAAAACATAATCCATCCTGTATTCACCAGGAATCTTGGAGGACCCATTGATAAGCTGTATTGGCAAAAGTTTGTTGAAATTTTGCTCCAGACGCAGGATTCTTTGGAGATCTAGTCATGAATAAGACATTTCTGGCCTTGGAGGATTCATAATCTCATAACTACATGTCCCTCAGTCATGACTACAATACAGTCTGTGGAATCAAGAGTAAAGAGTGATGTGGGCATTTCCGAATAGAAGAAGAGCGTTTTTAAAATGTTTACTCTGAGAGTCGGGAGCTTGGTCACTGAATCTCCAGCACCCACGTAAAAGCTTGTAATCAACTTGCTGAGTAGGCAGAGCTCTGGGGCTTGCCAGTCTAGTCTAGCCAATCTAGACTTAATTAATCAAAAAAAAATTTTAAACAAGTTTGAATGGAAATGCTCTCTATGGATGGAAAATGCTACCCCAGAAGCCATAGGTCTCTAAGCAACAATCCCAGGGTCAAGTATGGGCCTCTCCCTGTCAGCTGGCCAGGAAGCCACAGAGGCTCCAGAACAATAGAAGTCTATTGCATTGGATTGCTCCTGATCACCCACCCACAATACTGAAGACACCAACCACACACTGGAATGTATCACACCGCCAAATCAAGCTGGAACTGAGCCAGCAGCTTCCTCCCTCCTGGACGGCAAATTGTCATGAGGTGCTGTGCAGGCTGCTGGGTAGGAACACTCAAGAGGCTGGAGCAGTGGCTCAGTGGTTAAGACATGGGCTGTTCCTCCAGAGGACCTGAGTTCAATTCCCAGCACCCAGATGGCAGCTTACAACTTCCTGTAACTCCAGTTGTAGGGGATCCAATAGCCTCATACAGACATACATGCAGGCAAAACTCCAATGCACGTGAAATAAAAATAAATGTCATTAAAAAAAATCAAGGAAACCTCATCAAGTGTTTCTCAGCTCTACATTCTGTGAGAGACACTGACTGACTCACAACAAAACAAAAACCATAATAGAAGAAGGTGGAAAATAATAGGGGGAGATACAAGACTTGACATCCACACACATGTGCACACACAAACAATATGTGCACATATAACTGTTGTATAGCAGTTTCCTCCAAGATTATAACCTGTCTTTGTAGCAAGCTCCTTAAGATACAGGATGTTAAGCTGGGGCAGTGCTGGGTATATTCTTTTAATCCCAGCACTCAGGAGACTGAGGCAGGTGGATCTCTGTGAGTTCAAGGCCAGCCTGGTCTACAGAGTAAATTCCAGGACAACTAGGGCTACATAAAGAAACCCTGTTTCAAACAAAAACAAAACCAACCAACCCAACCAAACAAAAAAAGACACAGGCCATGTGGTGGTGGCTCACACCTTTAATCCCAGCACTTGGGAGGCAGAGGCAGGCAGATCTCTGTGAGTTTATTTTATAGAGCTAGATCCAGGACAGCTAAGGCTACACAGAGAAAACCTGTCTCGAAAAAACTAAACAAAACAAGACACAGGATGTTAAAGTGGAGTTGAAGCACCTGTATGTTCCAAGGGAAGGTGTAATATTCCATCCCACAGCTGACCACATTAAGCCCAGGAGGTAAATAATTCAGTGGCTTCAGGAAGTTCCTGAAATTGATCAGATTCACTAGGCTCCTCTCTTCCCAAGCATATATAGGCAGTAAGGCCTGCTGAGCTGCCTAGAAGGGTTATGGGCTGCTGAGCTTCAGGGAAAGACTGTTCTCCAGCCTGTTAAGCTGCCTGCAGATTGTGTAGTGTGTCCCAGGTTTCCAGCTTTTGTGAGCTGATACTCACAGGATATGTGGGTGTGGGTGATACAGCTGCCTTCGAGTCATTTCTGTGCCTGTAACTTCACCCATGCTCCTGGAAGTAATACCAATAAGATTCATTTGGTTTTACCAAGTTGGATTTAGGTAGATAGTTGTCCTGTAGTTAGCACCCTGTCTGAGAGGAGGAGGTGCTTGCTCAAGGCTCCCCAAGAATAGTGCCATACAACAGCAATACACAAAAGTTTATTGTATTTTAATTTTTGTCTTTCTTAACTTTATTTTCAAATAGGAAATGCTTCAGAAATTTGTATGTCTTCTTTGGGCCGGGGCCATGTTGATTCCTATATCATTTCAATTTTAGTATACAACTTTTAATTAATAATTTATACAGGGGTGTATACCTGTTTTATGTCCACCATGTGTAGTGCCCATGGACACTAGAAGAGGGTGTTGAATCCCCTAGAACTCGAATTTCAGTCATAGGTGGGCTATCTGATGTGGGTGTTTGGAACCAAACCCAGGTCCTCTGCAAGATCAGTTAGTGCTCTTTTTTTTTATTTTAAATATTTATTTATTATGTATACAATATTCTGTCTGTGTGTCTGCCTGCAGGCCAGAAGAGGGTGCCAGATCTCATTACAGATGGTTGTGAGCCACCATGTGGTTGCTGGGAATTGAACTCAGGACCTTTGGAAGAGCAGCCAGTGCTCTTAACCTCTGAGCCATCTCTCCAGCCCCAGTTAGTGCTCTTAAACACCAATTTTTTCCACAGCTAATTTTTATTTTTTCAATTATATGTATATGTGATATATTATATGTATATCAGAGTGTGGTTTTATACATGTGAATGCAGTGTTCACAGAGGCAGAAGAGGGCATTGGATCCCCCGGAGCTGGAGTTAAGGTGGTTTGTGAGCCATTTGACATGGACACTAGGAATCACACTTGGGTCTTCTGCAAGGGCACTATGTACTCTTAATCACTGAGTCATCTCTCCAGCCCCTCCCAAGAGGAAGGGGGAAATGTACAGAAGAGGGCGGAATAAAGAACAGAAGACACTGGAAGGTGGAGAAGCTGTTAAGGAGAGCCTCTGAACTGACAGCACCCTTTGTAAACGGTGGGCCAAAACATTTTAAACCAGGGGCTGAAGAGATGGAGGGCTCAACTGTTAAGAGCACTTGCTGCTTTTGTAGAGGACCAGAGTTCAGTGTCCAGACTCACATGGCTGCTCACAACCATCTGTAACTCCAGTTTCAGGTCAGATATATACACATTACACAAACATGCATGTGGATACACACATAAATCTTTCAAAAAATAAATACTGGAAATGAGACCACACTTAAACATTCTCGTCCCTTTAAAAGGATGTCGAATACCAAAAGCAATTCGTGTTTTACTTGAAATGTGCTATTGCCCTTTTTGACCCTCTCTAGATACAGCAACATTTTTTACCACAGGCCCTGGGCACTCCGGGCGACACAGATCCCAGGCTAGGCCACAAATCCAAGAGCGGACCTAAGTGTTTCAAGGCACCACGCCCCTAAATAGTCTGCAACCTCTTCCATTTCAGATTCTTTCGGGGTTCTGGGTCAACTAGCCTCAGCGAAGAGTCTACCCTATGTGACCCCTCGGTGCCCACAACGCCCGCTCCTCCCCTGGGTTCTCCTTACGGAGTCATCTACTACCCCTCCACCAGGAGACCCCGCCTCCGAGCAGAGATGCCCAATGAACTGCCTTCCTCCCAGTGAGGCTCCGGACTCCGCCCTCCAGCCAGCCCCACAAGCAGCGCTAACCAATACCAGGCTCTCTCCCTCCCTCGGGCTCCGCCCCTCCAGGCCCCGCCCCTCTCGGGTACCGCCCCCAGGGGCGTGGCCTTTGCCGCGCCTCCGCCGAGCGCGCGGAGCCCAATGCCGCCCCCTCCGCCGGTCCCTCCTCCGGCGGCCTGGCGCCTCCCTCCTTCCCCGCCGCGGTGACTCACGGAGAGGCGGAGGCTGAGGCGGCCGCTCCTGCTGCTGCTGCTGCTGCCGCCGCCGCGGCTGCTGCTCCGGCTGAGCGCGCCCCGGAACAGGCCGCCGCGCTCCGGACCCGCAGCCCCCGGCGCCGCGCGCTCGGGCGGCCCAGGTAAGCGCGAGGCCGAGCCCCGACCGCAGCACGGGGTCGGCACGGCGCCGGGGCACGGGGGAGCCGCTGGCCCTTTGTCTCCCGGGGAGGGGCCGCGGAAGGCACCTTCGACCCCGCCGAGACCCACCGGGCTGGCCCCGCTGGCGCGACGCCCTGGGCCTGGACCCGCCGTCCCCACCACGGCCGGCGCTGCTACCTCCCGCCTCAGACCCCCCTGCTACCTTCTTCCCTTTCCTTTGGGGTTCCCCCTCCACAGGTGTCCCAGTTGCTCACCCTCTGGGCCCGTGTGCTTGACATCGCCTGTCCACCCTCCGGGTCCCATTGCCCTGTCTCCTCTTTACACCCCTCTCCCAGCATCCTGACTCTCCTTGTTTCCCCTACTAAATGCTGCCAAGGTCTCTCTGGCTGCCCAGCCTCCCTTCCTCCTTCTGTAGTTTGAATGCACTGTCCGCTCCCCCAGTACCACCTCTCCCTTGTGTTTTTAGAAGGTATATGTGAGAGACACATGGCTCATGTTCGCAGGGTATTTGTGAACATGAACCTGCAGGTTTAACCACTTGGACCTCCAAACTGCCTTTAACCCCTCCTCTTTGCCACCCCATTAACGATGCACTTCCCTTTCTCTTGAGCCTGGAGCTCTGGACACCCTGCCTCTTGAGGCCCTGCAGCCCTTGCTTGTTCCTGTGTATGGAACTTGTCTGAGCAGTATCTCTGTCGAGTTAGTTTATGGGAAGGCCCAGGGGTATTGTGCTGGGCACAAATCAACAGTTTTATAAATAATGGGACGTGTGGCTTGCAGCACTTCCTATCTGAGGATCTAACTATGCCCCTAGTTGTTAATTACTTTGTCTCCTGTTGCAGATGTCAAGGAAGTGTGCCTAGATAACTGCTGGGTAAATTGAGGCACAGATGTGGTATAGGAGCTGGAGGCAAGTCAGTTTTTCTTGAGATATACTTCCCAAGTGCGTTGGCTTCTGGTTCCCTGCTGCAGCCACTAGGCTCTTGTTCCTGGCTGGAACCCTGTGATAACTGATCTCTTCTGCCATTAAAGTGTTCGGAGATGCCAGAACTTCCTTGGATTCAAAGCAGGACTTTGAATCACAAATAAAGGTGCCAACTGTTAAGTGCCAGTGTGTCATTCATGGCTTCCTGGTAGAGTCAGTGTGGTCCATGTGGACAGAAGTCACTGCTGTGAGATGGAAATTCATTCACGAACTCCATGCTCTGAGGCTTACACAATCCTTGTCTTCTGGGAGATGACATTCCAAGAAGGAAAGAGGACAGATAATAACGAGTAAATAAGTAGGTGGCTAAAAGTCATTTCAGTGTTAAGTGCTGCGAAGGGGCCAGAGCACTAAGAATCGACGACAGCCTGGATGTGGCGGTGCAGCATTTGGGAGGTGGCGGCAAGGAGATCAGGAGCTCAAGGTCAGCCTGGGCTTCTTGAGACCCTCGTAGAGAGAGGGAGTGTGTTGGGAGAGAAAGGAAGAACCTGTATGTTAAAAGAATACATTTTGTAGGTTATAGTATATTATCCAAAGAGTTAGAAGCCATTAGAGTCTGTTAAACAGAAAGGTATTAAGATATGATCTAAGTTTTAAAGGATTGCTCTGGCCGCCATAAAGAGACAGAATTATGGGGTGTGGAGGTGGAGGAAAAGACACTAGTTGATTGTTGAAATTGCCCAGCTAGAGATGGTGGTGATTTTGCATCTGGGTGATGGTAGTAGAAGGATGGAACTAGAGCCAGCCCTGTTTGTTCCTCCCACCCCTCTACACACACACACACACACACACACACACACACACACACTACTTGGTGCAGGGAGCTGGGAAGCAAACTCTGAAAAACAGAACTACAAGTTCCATGTAGCGTAGGGAATGTCTCCCTATCTGACTTTGCTCAAGTTGAGCTCAGCAGATCTTGTTGAGGCTCCGCTGTGGGTCAGGCACTGTGTTAGACACACTCAGGTATGATGTCGCTCCTGCCTTTTGCAGTCTGGTGGACTCATGACTTAGCTCAGAGAGAAGTCACCATAGTACAGCAGTGTGCTCGTGGGATAGGCTACCCCTGTGATGGAAGAGAGCTTGTGGGCTTATAAATTAGAGATGGAGGAGAGAGAACGCATTGGGCTTCCTTCCCATATCCAGCTGCAGCGTTTAAATGGAGACATTAGTGCCCTGCCTCTGTTGTGAAGTGCTGGACAAAGACACTGAAGGGGTTAAGAATGCAGCTCAGTTAGAGGAAATGTGTGAGGCTCTGGGTTTGGTACTCAGTACTCCCAGATTAAGAAATTTGTCTCTGAGCTGTCTGAGGCCAGGGTCTCCATTGGAATTGTCTTTCAGTGTTTGAGGTCAGTGACCTTTAATCCCAGCCCTTGGGAGGCAAAGACAAGCAAATTTCTGTGAGTTTAAGGCCAGCCTGTTGTACAGAGTGAGTTCCAGGACAGCCAGGAGCTATCGAGAAACTCCGAAGTTAAACAAAAAGCAAAATCAAAAGATTAAAATTTTAAAAAAGGTGAGGGGAGAAAGAAAAGGAAAAGTAGTAAGTTAGGATGGTTTATTACAGCGAGGGAACACCTGAGTGTCATGAACTCGAGCTATTTAACAGAATTAAACTTGCTCTATGCTGCTGTAATTCTATATGTCACAGAGGCCTTCGGAGGTGACACGTGTGGGCAGTGGGGACCTAGGGGCTGGACTCCTTGGAAATCCCGTAGCAGGTTGTGCCTTTCCTTTGGTGCCTGTCATGTCGTCTGTTTCAGCTTCGTGTATACATATATGTGTCTCGGAGCTGTCTGAGGCCACGGTCTCCACTGGACTCATCTGTGTCTTTCACAGTGTTCGAGGTCGGTGACCTGCACAGAGTGTAAAGGTTGACGGCCAGCGGTGCCGCCCGTTCCCGTGTCTTTTCTCATCATCTGAGGAATCCCAGCAGGCTGCCGTTGACTGTGCTCACTGGAGACAGCAGCTCTTCCTAGATAGGGCTGTTCTCTGTCCAGCCCTGCCCCCAGAGAACAGCTGCCGAGGGTGCTGACCACGGAGTTATTTAACACCCCACAAATATGAGATGTAGCTCTTAATTAGAGCGCGAACTTTATACCGAGACTCTGGGCTTGGATCTCGGTTCTGCCGTCTTTGACTCTGCGAGCTTCAGAACATTATTAACCTCTCCATGTCTGAGCTTGCCTCGTCTGTAATGTAGTGCTTTTTCCCTTGTGGAGTTGTTGAAAGGGTTAAATTAGCGAGCCCTATTTAGTGCCCAGGATGGCACCTTGTATTTAGTGTTCGCTTCGTGGAACTGATAGCTATTGTTTCGCTTTTCAAAGGATTGGGGCTGGGGAAATGGCACAGATGGTGAAGTGTTTGCCATATAAGAGTAAGAACTGGAGTTTGGATCCCCAGAACCCACACCAATGCTGGGTGGGTGTGGTGGCCTGCTGTAACTCCCCAGAGTAAGCCTGCTAGCCAGACTAGCCGCAGGAGGCTTTGGCCTTGATTGAGAGACCCTGCCCCAGTGAATGAGCAATCAAAGATAATCCCAGGCATTAACTTTGGGTTACCTCATGCATATGCACACGCACATAAACCTCCACACATGGAAAACATGCATGTACATGCACACCACATACATGAGACTGGAAAAGGAAAGTTAATTAGTTTGGTGTGGGGTGTGTGTGCATGCACGTAACACACTCTCTAGAGTTGGTTCTCCCTCTTTTCTGTGGGGTCTGGGCTTGAACTCAGGTCACCAGGCTTGCCAGGCAAGTGTTTTCATGTGCCGAGCCTCCATCAGCCCTGTTATTCCAGTTTTCTTTAATCAATTTCTTACTTCCTGCGAGAATTTAAGCTCTTCGAGAGCAGAGTTTGTCTTTGTTTATTATTTATGGTCCAATTCAGCAGACGCTTGGTAAATCATTGTGTAGTTGAAGCTGGGCATGATGGCACACACCTTTAATCCCAACACACAGGAGGAAGAGGCAGGAGGATCTTTGTGAGTTTGAGTCTAAGGCCAACCAGGGAGGACCACATAGTTGAGACTGTCTTTCAAAAAAGAAGTAAGCCAGGCGATGGTGGTGCACGCCTTTAATCCCAGCACTTGGGAGGCAGAGGCAGGCGGATCTCTGTGAGTTCGAGGCCAGCCTGGTCTACAGAGCTAGTTCCAGGACAGGCTCCAAAGCCACAGAGAAACCCTGTCTCGAAAAACCAAAAAGAAAAAAAAAAAAAAGAAGTTAAAATAACTGACACCAGACACCAGTCGCTACTGTGATGCAGATGTAGCCAAGATTCATGGTCTAATGAAGTTAGTTTTAAGATCTAGCATTTCTTTAGTTTTGTTGGAAGCTAGACTTCAGGCCTCAGATGTGCAAGGCGGGAGCTCTCCTACTCAACTGCTGCCCAGCCCCACTTGGTGCTTCCTCTACTGATCCTGTCTCCTAGTCGGTCAGCTTTGTAGCTCAGTGGTGGCGCACACACTTAGTATGCCTGAAGCCCGCTGTTCTATGTTTAGCAATGAAGAATAAAACAAAAAATAAATAATAAGTGAGCAAAAGACTGTGGGGTATTGAGCTGGGGCATGATGTCATCCCAGGGAGATCAGGAGCTCAAGGCTGTCCACAGCTTTATGTATGAGACTTTGTCCCAAACAAAGAACATGGGATGTTGAGGGAATAAACCTGGTTATAGCCGAGACAAATGAGTGTGAGGGTCTAGCTAGTTCTGAGGGGTGACTTTTGAATGATGACCTGGTGAGCCAAAGGGACAGCGTGTAGGCAGCAAAGTAATGGGGGGCTGGAGTGTGGTGAGCAGAGTCAGGGCTGGATGGTGGCTGTGGTAGGAATTTGGGTTTCTCATGGATTCTGTACAGTAAGGACTTGCTGCATGAGACCTTTTCCTGGAGCTCTCAGATGTCTGAATGCATCCTTGGAGAAGAAGCAGGATGCTAGCAAGAACAGTTGGAGTAGGAGCCTCTTGTTCTGGCCAACAGAGTCTGATTGAATA